AGCACGCCCCTCAACCGCCAGGCACCTCTTCCGTCAGTGGACGGTGACCCTGACTCCGAGAGAGACCCCCGGGAGAGCGAGAGAGAGACGGGGTGTCCCTCGGCTGGGCCCCCTGGGGCGAGATTCAGCCCAGCCGCAGCGGGGTACACAAGGTACTAGGTGGAGAGGGGAAGGAGAGAGAGAGCCAGGCTGGAGGCCTCCGGTCTCTGCTCCCTTCTCTGCACCAGCCTGAGTCCCCCCACTCAGGGCTTTTCCCAGCGTGTACCCAGCTCACCCAACCTTGTGTCATGGGTCCGGGCCAAGCCTTCGGAATGAGGGGAGAGAAAAGGGCAATGCTGCCTCTGCCCGGGCTGTGCAGGGAATCACCCCGCCCTTCTGGAACTACCTCTGGGGACCCAGCTGGGATTGTAGCTCATTGAGACTTCCAGAGCCTGGCCCCATTGCGGTCACTCCATGAGGTAGAACAAAAACACCTGCCTTTAAAATTCAACTGTATCTAGGGTGACCCCACCTGTATTTCAAGTTCCGTAATAGAGGACACTGCTGCGGGGGGAGGGGGTGAGCTCGAGAGGGTATTTTGGGGTGCTGGAGGGGTGTGTGTGTACTGGGAGATGGTATTTGGGAGGTGCTGGACAGAGTATTTGGGGTGTGTAAAAGCAGGGGTGCCTCTCGGGACCGGGGGACCTCCCACAGGCATGCTGCCGAAGGCAGCCTGACTGCCACCCTCAGGGCAACCGGCAGGCTGCACCCTGCGGCTTGCCACCCCAGGCAGGCGCTTGCTGCGCTGGTGCCTGGAGCCGCCCTGGTTGTCCATTCTTCTCCCCCCCACACACCCCACGGAGCACTCCCCTTTTCTCCCCCCCAAGGAGCACCCTTCTCTCTCTCTCTCCTCCCCTCCGGCAGGGCTGGGTTGAGTTGGGTTAGGGTTACCATTCGTCCAGATTCCCCCGGACATGTCTGGCTTTTTAAGCTAAAAATAGCGTCCGGGAGGAATTTGTAAATGTCCGGACTTCCCCCCCCATGCAGAGCGCGCGCGGCTAACAGTGCTGCCGGCCGGACGGTGTCACTTACATGGGGCTCCGACACTCAGCCAGAGAGGGCTCCTCCTCCTCCCCCCCGCAGCAGAAATCACTCCCTCCCTCCCTCCCTGCATCGCAGATCGGCTCCGGCAGTCTGGAGCTCCACCCCCGCTGCTGCCCAGCGGCTCAGGCAGTTCCTGAGCAAGTTCACCGAGACATTAGGTGAAGAAAGGCCAACAACAAGGGGGCCAGGGGGTCGGAGAAGGGGCAGGGAGGTTTTGGAGGGGGCAGTCAAGAGACGGGGGGGGCTTTCTGGGGGTGTGGATAAGGTTTTGGGCAGTCAGGGTACAGGTAGGGGGTAGGGTCC